TTGTCTCTCATGAAAAAGGTTTAGGACTACATTTTGGTGGGATCTCTATCCAATTGATCTCAATGGGAAAACAGAAATGGTTACTGCACAAAAATAAGGAGAGGAAAGAAAGTGTTGGATGTAAGGATTGCATCTTATCCTTCCTCACTTCCACATTTATGTTACATCCATTGTACAGAATGTGACATGTCTGCAAAAACAAAAAAAAAACAGTATTTCTTAGAGCCTGAAAAGTCTGTGAAGTTGCAATCAGAAACCATGGAAAAAACTAGAAAGAGTGTGGTACATCAATGACTAGTCCATGCTTCCTTCTACAGACCACAATGATGACAAGAGCATAATGATATCATATGGTGCTCTTGCCTTAGTGGACATTGATGGTTACACTTGATGAATGATACTAAGCTGCAGCTGTGGGCCTTTAATGGCTTTCCTTATTGAAGGAAAGTTTTGGAGAATCACTGGAAAGACAGAGGCAGATCCTGAATAGGGAACAACATTTCATGAATTTCCCCTCCAAATATGAGTGATTGAGTTTATACATTGTGCTTGAATGATCTAATTATCCTCCACAAATGGAGATCAACCTCACAAGATTTATGAATCCCTTTGTACATTGAATAAAGCATCGGTCCAAAAAGGAAAATGAAAAAGGAAGAAAAAAAACAATCCTTTTCTTCATCTTACAAATAGCATACCAATAGGCAGTGGTGGTGGTGATAAATGTATTTTTTCTTTTGTAAAAATAGAATGGATCTAATCTATATTCTTGAAAACAGGGGAGGGAGATCATTCCATTTTCCATCGTTTTGGTTCTCTACTTACATTTTTTTTTTAATCCATGAAGGAAAGACACCCATCAAGAGTCACAAAGAAACCAGAAACAGAACATCATGGTGTCAGAAGACGTGTTGAGGTAAATCTTATTTGACCAATTCCTATTTTGTCACAAATGTGTGTGAGAATAAGTTTCACAATACTCCCTTTTTTTTTACATTAGGCATATTCAATCCCTGGCCTGTGAACCCTGGACAGCTAGTAATGTGGCCCCACAAGAAAATATAAAATATATATTAAAAAGTGAAGTTTGTTATCTATTACTTGTTTTATATGTGGCCCAAGGCAATTCCTTTTCATTCAATGCAGCCCAGGGAAGCCAAAAAGATTGGACACCCATGTTGTGTATTGTCCACCTCTAACTGGATTATGGGCTGCAAAAAGGAAAAAGAAGTGAAGAAAACTGAGAAATCTGATAGGGGGAAATTCTTGAATAATAAAAGATATTTTCTTACAATCTGATAATAAAGGACTGTTTCCCAAAAGTTAAGTTCTAACTCTATTTTACTGTTTTCACAGAGGTCAGCAAGTGGATCCAGTGAAATGGTAAATTGTTTCTTTACTATAATTTCCTTACAGCTAATGCCTTGGTGTTAGATGAACATGTACCCTGTAATGACTCCTCAGTTGGGGCTATGAAATAGGGAAACACAAATCTGGATAATCACCAGATGGCAGCAGAGAGAAAACTTTAAACACCATCTAGTGGCCATCTAATTTGCAGCTGAGATCTTGTAGCTTACAGTCAGATTCTGAAAGGAGTTTTTAGGATAGCATAAATATATATTTTATCCTTCCTGTTAGAACAGCCACATTAGTACAGGCTTACAGATTTTTCTCCTTCAAACATATGTATGTATGTATGTATGTATGTATGTATGTATGTATGTATGTATGTGTGTGTGTTTGTGTGTTTGTTTGTTTGTTTGTTTGTTTATTATAAAAAGTACCAACAATGAACAATGAAATTATCTCAGGGACCAGTCTTAGATTTCAGGGGAAGAGTTGGCAAAGATGTAGAGCAGAGGTGGGGAACTATGGCCTCTTTATGACTTGTGGACTTCAACTCCCAGAATTCCTGAGCCAGCCAGCTCTGGGAGTTGAAGTCCACAAGTCGTAAAAGCGCCATGGTTCCCCACCCCTGATGCAGAGCTACTGCCAAAAGATCCCTCCTACTCATTAATCTGAAACAGGTCTTCAGAAATGATGCCAGGACCCAGATGAATTCACAGACATGAGGTGACCATTCAAGTAAACTGTACAGAGATTAAAAAGTCAAAACCAGTTTAGAATGAGCCCAGAAATGTAAAGGCAACCAAAATAACTGGTACATAATCCTCTAGAATAGTGTTCCTCAGTCTTGGCAACTTGAAGATGTGTGGACCTCAATTCCCAGAATTGCCCAGGCTTTGCTGGCTAGGGAATTCTGAGAGTTGAAGTCCACACATCTTCAAGTTGCCAAGATTAAGAAGACTGCTCTAGAATCCTGTAGAATCCTAACTCACTGAGAAGAATGAAAATGGTGCTGTTATATTTCCACAGCGCATGACTCGCTTCATAATCCCTCGACAACAGCAAGCAGATATACCTCCAGTACCAAACATACCTCCTATACCAATACCGGTAAGATCATCACGATTTTAACTGAAGTGACTATCTGTAAAGACTACATTGATGGCACCTTTCCATTCCAATGACATAAGTTGTACTTAACAAAGCAGAAGAATCGACTTCCATATTCAAACATGCTTCACACATTATAGATGACAAAGGCTACTAGTGACAGCATGATGTTCTGTGATGATCTTGGCAGATCAAGGACGAGATTCTCCAGACATGATGCAAATAGAGCCTGCCATATTTTCTATTTTAGCCTTCCCCATTGCATTTGAGATCCTGCTTCTTTTGTAGGCCTGGTCAAAACCTTTTCAGCTAAAGAGCTGCCAATCCAGATGCTTTGACAATATTTATAAGAAACGGTTTCTGTCCGGGGACAGATCATTCAGAAGGTCTAATTACATAAAAGCAGATGTCCACTGATTGATGGCCCACTTGGGATCTGAGGTCCACTCCATCAGCATGCTAAGATTTGTACACCGTTGCTATCGCTAGATGGCACTGTAATATCAAGTAACTCACACTGAGCAAGTTCACGATAACTTTTCCAAGTCAGATTCCATCTGTACTGTGAAGGAGGATGGAGGAGAGAGACCGAGAAAAATTGCTCAGCCTTTTGCTAAGGAGTGTTTTGGCAATTTGCAAGCAACTTAATTGACAATGTGTATTCAACTGCCATTACTCTGGTGGACAGAGAGAGACAGGATTGATTGCCAAGAAAATAGAATAGCAGGCCAATGAATGTTATTGGGTATGAAGAAGAATACAGGTAGTCCTCGACCTACGACTACAATTGAGCCCCGAATTTGTGTTGCTAAGCGAGAAATTTGTTAAGTGAGTTTTGCCCCGTTTTACGACTTTTCTCGCCACATTTGTTAAGTGACTCACTGCAGTTCTTAAATTAATAACATGGTTGTTCAGTGAATCTGGTTTCCCCATTGACCTTGCTTGTCAGAAGGTTGCACAAGGGAATCACAGGACTCCGGGACAACCATCAAAATTGTGAGTCAATTTTCAAGCATGTAAATCATGTGACCATGGGGATGCTGCAACGGGCGTAAGTGTGAAAAATGGACATAACTCACTTTTTCAGCACCCTTGTAACAGTCACTAAATGAACTGTGGTAAGTCGAGGACTGCCTGTAAGTCCTATTTTATGATCTTGTGCAGTGGTGGGATTCAGATATATGAACAACCAGTTCTCTGTGTGGATACCGCTTCTGGAAGTCCGTTCTGGGCTTGGGAAACAAAAAATTAGCTACCGGTTCTGCCGAACTAGTGCCAACTGGCTGAATCCCACCACTGGTCTTGTGTCTTATATGACTGATTTCTATATTCATTTGATCTTACAGATTCCTGTACCAATACCACTTGACCCAACTGCGGTATGTGATAATTCAATCATGGGGGGGGGGGTGGAGAAGGAAGAGGGACAAAGGTTCAGATGAGAATCTTTCACCAGCTTCAAAATTGTGCCACCCAAATCACATGACTTTCAACGATTGACTGATTAAACATACAAGTTATTATTAAATTTTATGGAATTGCTCCTCAAAGGATCTAGAAAGTCAATGCCATTTCCTAGTTCTTTGCCTACCCTGCGTGGC